AAAAACTAGCTTCAGTAAATTTTCAATATTAGCTTTCTTTTTTTCCTTCTTTATAACCTTTTCTCTTTCTCTCTCTCTCTCTCTCTTTCTCTCTCCTCTTTAAGTAAATAATGACTGCATTTTGCATATTGCATTTTGAATATTGATTTTAGGAAAATGCATTCCCATGAATGTTTCGAATGTATTTCTCCTTCTATAGACAGATATGTTCCAAATTTTCATCCTCTAATTTATAATTTGATTTTTGTGTTAACAAAAAAAAAAAATAAAAAATAAAAAAAGGGAAGAAAAAAAAAGTAAAAATAGGGAAAGAAAAAAAGAATATCCATCACTTTTGTTCTTTTTCCCGAAAAAAAGGATAAAAAAAAGATTCCAACAAGAAGTTAACTTAATTTTTTAAGTCTCATCAAATTCTGAAATAACTTTGACAACGATTTCATTATTTTTAATAGTTTTATTTGCAAAAATTTGTTCTTCAGTCTTTGAACTTAACATAAATATTCCAATAATTTTTTTTTTTTTTTTGCAAGCTACAAATGAACAAATTTTATGGTCGATCAAAATTTCAGTTTAAACGATGCCATTCTTATTTATCTTCTTCTTTCATATGGATTTCTCTCCAACCATATCAGTAATGTTTGAGACTCACTTGGGATTATTCGATACTTAACATGTCTTTCACTCTCGAATTATAATTGCTTAGTCTGTGAATCTTTATTAGATTGTATTGCAGTATAGGAAAATTTTCGAATCATTTTATAATCGTATAATTTTGTTCCTTATCATTTTGCAGATACTGTATCATTTTACTGATGATTGTAAATGGAATTCAGATATGCCAGCTTTAAGTGAATTTCTTCGAAAAGCACATGAAGCATTGAATAGCCTACGAGGTTTTTTTTTTTTCATCATTCAGTCAAAATTTTCCAAAATGCTGTAATTTTCAAAAGAAATGCATAAAATCAAGCTTTATCAATTATTTTAATTTCGAAGTTAGTTATGAAATTTTGCGATCAGTTGTTCAACTAAGCTGCAGAACTTAAATTTAAGTAATAATATATTTTTTTATTGTAATTATCTGATTTATTTGTGAAAATTTTTAAGATTTTGCGCAATGTTTTCCATGCTAAGCATTTGTTTTATTCTTATGTAGAAAGGATAGTTGTTAATACAGGCTATTAAAATTGATTGCGAGAAATGAGGAAAAAGTTAGACGATGATTATATTATTTGTATGTAATTAGTAAATTTTATTGCATGCAAATACTAATTATCATGCAATTTTTTCTAAGGACTATTATCAGATATCAAATTAAATCATTTTAAGTTAATATTTCCATCTTTTTAAAGTTAATTTTATATTTTAAATTTAGTTAAGATCTTGTAATTTTCAAAATTTAGTTAAATTTATCGTGTAATTTTCGAAATTTAGTTGATTTTATTAATAAAAATTTTTGTAATAAAAATTTATTGCTCCTTTTTCAGGCTTAAATAATACATTCATCGGTCAAGATGGTGATATCGTTTATTCACAAAACAATGTTTGCATTCATGATGTTCGTAAAAACAACGAAAAGGTATAAATATGCTTAATTTGTATGTTTACATTGGTAGTATTTCCATACAAAAATAATCAATTTTAACAATTTCTAGGATACCGATGATTCTATACATCATATTCCTGGATATTTGACCTTGCAATGTCAAAGCGATGATGTACTAGGAATTACTCTTATCTTGCAATGGTTACCCAATGCAACGCTTGAAAAAAATCCAAGAAGGTAAACATATCGAGAATTCCAAAATTTTTTTCGTATTTCATTTCCAAAAACTTTGTTGTAAATCAATATCAATTATATTTAAAATTGTAGCATTCGAAGTGTATCACAAAAAAATCAAAATATTGACGGTACTAATTATGAGCAAACGAAATTTCGGAACACCAATAATCAGGTTTGTTTAAAAGTACTGCTTAGTAACAAATTTGTGATAAAATTTTTTTAATTAATTTAATAGTTATGCTAATTTCCTTAAATTAAATCTAAAAAACGATAGGTATATTTGTGTTTTAAAACTTTAAGCTACGAATATACCTACAAAGTAGTAGTAACGATGATAATGATGATGATAACGATGGTAAGAACGATAATGAAGATGACGATGAAGATAATGAAGACGATGATGAAGAAGAAGATGATGATGATGATGATGATGATGATGATNNNGATGATGATGATGATGATGATGATGATGATAAAACGCAAACTGATGATAATACAAATGATGAATGTGTAAGTTTTTTCTAGCCGTTCCTCTTCCTCCACTACTTTTTTTTTTGTTTTTCGTACTGCAAACTAGAAAATAATAGATTCTAATTAAAATCTTAAGAATATGTTTGAAATATTTAATTATCAAAATTCGCAAATTTTCTTATTTGTTGCTCGTTAATGATTCCAATTTCTTTACAAAAAAAAACAAAAAAAAAAGAAAAAAAGAAAGAAACGGATTAATTGAGAAAAGTTTAAATTAGAGGAAACCAGTTTTATGATCGGTTTTTTTTGTAGAGTCCGATGAGTGAAAATGATATTAACGTTGAAATGAACGGTGATATGATAACAGTAACTTCTATGAAACGAAAGCCATATTTATTCATGTCATCGGTCGGTATTTTTTATATTTTCTAAATTTTAACATCTATTTGTTGAAACATGCGAATATATATCATCCCTTAAATTGAACTTTCAGTGCATACATCTTATAAAATCTTTTTTAACAATTATTCAAGATAAAATCTTGATATACTTTTTGTTCATCAGTGCTGTATTTTCTTATATCTTCATGTTAATTTTTCAAAATATTGACAATTTTTTTTTTTTTTTTTAAAAACCGTTAGCTGTTTTTTTTTAAGATTAAAAAAAAGAGCTAAAAAGTCCAAAAATTTAATAGTCTAAAAGTTTCCGAATCATTTTTCATTCTTCGTACTTTCCAATTTTAACAAGAATTTAACAAGAAGAAATTTTAACAAGAAGAAATATTATACATCGAGTCGACTTTTTTCAAAAATAGGAGGAAAGCAAATACATTCTGGTTATGTATTATAAATTCAGGAAGACCATGGAAATTGATGATCATATTCCGGATCAAGTTAACTCCTCTTATAGCATTCCATTTAACGCCTTTTTCGATTCCATTTTATTATTTATTATATGAATCGTATTTAGTAATAAATCTTATTCGGAACTTGCTTCTGTTTGATAAATCCAAAGATGTTAGCTATGGAAGAATTTCGTAGACAATCAATTTGATCTTAAATTTTATTACTAAAATAAGGTGTCATTTGAGTGAACAATTTCTGGAGCTGTTTCTTTTTTTTTTTTTTTTATTTTTTCTTTTTTTAAAAAGATTCATGAATTAAGGAAAAATCGGAAACTTTGAAAGTGCCAACAATCAACGTGATACCAAATACACCAGTCGATTCTTCTTCAATCGATGAAAAGGTAAAAATATATTGTTGCGCACTATTTGTGGCAGTAATGATTTATTTGGCTTTGAAATTTTCAAAATCGACTTTTTTTTTTTATTACTAATCATGTTGTAATTTATTTTTCTAATTCAATCTAATACTTTATTCTGCCAATCAAGATTAAAAAGTTTGAACTGTTTCCTTATTTGCTATTTTATCTATGGGATCAACACTTAATGATTGAATTTTAATTCGATTAAATCCAAAAATTTTTTTTTTTCTCTAGGAAACAGATAGCAGTTCAGCAACAACTTCTGGTGCTGATGAATTCTCTGACAAGGTTTGCTCTTTTTTTGTTTGTGTTATTCTTTTCGGAGATATCAATTTTCTAACAAATTAAAAATGTTAATTATTGAAATGAAAGAATGGAAAATTCATTGTAATTTGATTAATAAATAGTATTAACCATTACATTTTTCTAAATTTCTTATGCATTGAAATTTTATTAATAAATTTAGGATGAATTGGTAATCAGAAGCTCATCATCAGATGATCTCGATTGCCAAAATATAGAACAATGTCAAAAGGAATCAATTTCAAAAAGTATTAATATGCTGATTGAAAAACGTGTAATTCATCGTATTTTTTTTTTCTCTTTAATTTTTTTTAAATTTTCTTCACAATACTATCAGATATATTTTTGCAGCTTCACATTTAAATATGCTACAACAATATCGTGAAAAGTGTGAGCATTTATGCAAAATAACACCCGAACAATTTGCAATTGCACATAATTTGATGTTAGAAAATGATAGCCAACTTGATGATGATGATGATGATAATGATGGAGCAGTATCGGTTAACGGTAGAAGTGTAATTTTTCATCAGAAGACACTCTCTTCTTCTCTCTTCTCCGTTAATTTAGGTATAATAATTGAATAAAATTATCGAAAACTAAATAATTGTAAATTAAATATCATTAAACAAATAAGTGCAATTAAAATTAAAATTTCAGGTAAAATGAGATCAATGCGTTTATTTTTTACCGCTAATGATTTAACTTCTGGACAATTTGTTATTGCTACATGGGATTCACATTACAAAATTTTACACTTTCATCATGGCGGATTGGATAAATTAGCACAATTACTTGAGCAATGGAATGCTATTAAATTAAAAGCTGTTAAAGATGTAAGTTCGATGTTATATGCATAGAATGAATTGCTTGAAAAAGTTTGCAAAATTGCTAACTGTTTTGTAGGTTAAAAGTGTTGGATCTTTTTAAAAGTAGCATTAAAAAAATAAGAAAATGCAAATATTGGAGAAGAATTTTTTCGATGCAGATTCTTTTTTTTTTTTTTGTAGACAATTTTTTAGCTTTGAATTAATTGAAAATAAAAATAGAACAAAATCATTTAATTTTGGAAAATCTTGGAAATGCAGAAAGGAAGATTATTCTCTCAGGAAAATCCAAATATATTAGTTATTGTTTAGGGTTCACCTTCACCGATACCGAATCGGCAATTTTTAGTCTGCCAGCCGAAAGTAAATAAAATGGAACTTGATCCAGAAGAAGGTTTATATGAACGAGTCAGCTGGAATTTTTGGAAATCACATAAAAATCATGATGGTAGTTTCGATGACAGTTTCACCATGAGAAAGGTTGTAATAGGTTTTTTTTTTTTTCAATATTTTCTACTTCTAAAAGTTGAAGATTATAAATTGAATACGATTTTTAGGCTATTTATTTTGCTACAATAGACCCTGTACTTCGCAGAGAAGCTTGGCCATTCTTGTTGCGTGTATATCCATGGTCCTCAACTTTCGAACAACGTGAAATCATACGAAATGATATCTTCATTGAGTATCAGAAGATAAAAAAACAAAGGTATAGTTCGTATGTTGTGGTGTAGGATAATTTCATGAGTATAAAAATTGAGGATTGCATTAAATGTCATGAATGCAAGTCTCATAAAATTCATTAAATGTAAAATGTAAAATGGGATGAGAGCATGAAATTTCTTAATTTTATGAATTTTTTTTTTTTTTAATAAATATTTTCCACGATTATTTTCTTGAATATTCTAGAATGAAAAATGCGCCTAAATCATCATGGATTAATATAGAAAATGCTATAATTAAGGATATTATCCATACGGATCGTTATAAATCATATTTTGCGGGTGATAATAATCTAAATATCGATACAATGAAGTAAGAAGCATTGATTGCCATTGAACATGGAATTTACAAAAAAAAAAAAAAAAACTAAATAAAAAACTGATGAAATTGCACGTAATTTCAGATGAAAAATTTATCATTCAAAATTTATAATTGAAAGAATCGTTGAACATATTTTTCAGGAATATTTTATTAAATTATGCAGCTGCATATCCCGAAATAGGTTACATACAGGGTATGTCAGATTTGTTAGCACCTCTTTTGAATATCATTCATGATGAATCTGATACGTATTGGTGTTTTGTGGGACTTATGCAGCAGCAAACATTATTTGTATCAACTTCAATAGATGAAAGAAATGTAATGGAAATCAATTTGGTAAGCTCTAAAATTTGTATATAAAAAAATTCACAATCAATGTTTAGATAATTTCTTCTACATTTGCTTTTAAATAACTGCAAAAATTCTAAATATTTTTAAATTTTTTTCAATAAATTTTAAATATTTCAAAACATTTGCATTTTAAATAAACTGCGAAAAA